AAGGGAATATGCTCAGAGAGAAATATTCAAGTACATTGTTCTTGAATTGAGAATATTCCTTCTTAAAAACCGTGTAAAAAATTTTTGTATCAAAGTTCTCATTATTAGAGCGAAATGGCGAGAAGAGAAAAGTTAAATTGAGTTTATTTAACAACTTTTTGATAAGTTTATACTACTGACTGGACTAATAGTTTATTTGTTGAGATATACAATGTAAATACCGCCAAGTCAACTTGATTTGAGCAAAATATAAACATTTTTAGCTTCAAAATGTGGTTCAATTTTTAAGAACATTTTCAACTCAGATGTGAACGTCAGAATTTTTTCTGTGCATACTTCCTAAGGTTAATATGGAGACTTACTAATAACATTCAATTGGAAAAAACGACTTGTAAAATATTCACTAAAAAATAATTGCCTTCAAAAACAGCTTTTTAAGATGTTAACAGCTGGGTTAAAAATGGGTTTTAAAAACATTCACGACATTGCCAGGTTCGTGTACAAAAGTTGTCTACTTGCGTGCACTTTAATTTAGCAATAACTACACCTCACTAGTTTCGCCGCTGGATTTTTCAGACCCCCAAGACTTTTCCCCCCACTTTTACCACTTGACGTCGAGCGAGTTATTATAATTAATGGGACAAGAAAAGTTTCGGGTACCGCAAAATTTGCTCTAGTCTGGCGCAGAAATTTCAATTAGGCGACGACCTCGCCTCATTAGCATGGAGGATATATGCATACAAACGAACATATAGAAAATGCAGTGACACGTGCGGTGAGTGGAAATAGAAATGAATTAATTTCCACCTTTTGTTGGGCAAATATTATATGTACTCGCCGAAACTCGAGTTGATTTCGAGGTCAGAAATGGAAATGGAGAACCTTCGGCATTCAAAAAAAAACCACCATTTTGAAATGTCAAGTGCAGCCGATGACGATAAAAGTGATGACGATGATGATGTTGTAGCTCGTCCATCAACTGACAGGACATCATTCGACCATCTGGCCAAATTTTGATTTGATTTCGGATTTCTGAGTCGTGACTTCTGAGTCCTGACCCATCCGCAGGACCTCGTCTCCTGGACGAGTCGTGTCCTTGGCGAGTCAATCGTTTTGATTCGCCAAACACTTTATCACTTAATGTTCGTTTGTAGCAATTTATTCTTTGTACACCAGTTTATCTACACACCGATATGGTTGCACTGGAAAAAAAATCTGCGATTTCGGTTGACTTTTGCTAGAATTACAGAAAAATAAACTGGACTGGGTTTTTGAAAATTAACTAAAGCTTGAGTGACTTTTTGACTAACCTAAAATTATTGTACCTATTAGTTCCATACTTCATTACATAATATCTCTTAAGATACAGCTTTTATAATATGTAACCATATAAATAATAATTTATAGACCAAATGGGCGTTATTTCACTGGGCTATATTGCATTCACTCTTATTTGAAATATAAATAAAATCATACATTTTAAAATGATTGACCAAATGGGCTTTATTTCTCTGGGCGTTACTTCACTGGGCGTTTTTTCCCTGGCCATTATTCCATGCACTATTAAATTAATATTTTTTTTTTCAATTTTACAAGTGTGCTTTTCTGGAAGCTTTTCTCCCAGTGCACTCGGGTCCATCTTAGCCTCTTATGTACGCAGAATCTGTCTGTCGCTTTTCCCTGGCTTTGTGGCTTCGACTGTGGGCCGGCTCTTGTTAAGTGAAACAATTGAATTGTTAACTGAACAATAAAGTATTTTATTATTATTAGATTTTTGCTGCCTGCCCGCCAAGCAATCCCATTGCCATTTGCCTTTTGTCACATCTCGGTCTCTGGCATTTTCCTCTGATTTTTCCGACTTTCCGACTTTCCGACTCTCCCTTTCCATTTCCCTTATTCCAAGTCTTAAGTGCCTTTCGAGGCTGATATGGCTGATATGGCTCTTGGCCGTTTGGCTTTTTCGGCGACTGTCTCGAGTAGATTTCCGACATATTTCCCGACTCCTGTTATATGTCATTTGTACGAGTATTATGTTCGGCGCTTTTCATTCCCACCCGCGCCCCCCTTTTTGCTCCTTTTCCCGGGGCTTTCACTTTCTTGGCCAGCCTGCTCTGGTTCCTGGTTCCCCTTTGTTGGCTTTTGATTCAGTATTGCCAAAGCCATTTAGGTTTTTGAATTTATGACCATTTTGCGTTTTGTGGCTCCTTCTCAAATGCCCGGGCAATTTATGATTCTTGGCCTTTTGGCACACCCTCTACTCAGTGTCTCGATGCTTTTGATTTACGATCCGCAAATATAGGAGGCCGAATGGCCGGAAGAGGCAAGGTTGGCAATGTTGGCACCCAAAAATCAAAGTCAGGCCATTTGTCTCCCAGTGACAGTGTTGGGCACGCACGACGGGTAATAAATAGTGTTGTGAATGGCAAAGAAATTAAATGGAACAAGTTTGTTGATGAATATTGATTGGAGATGGGTTGGTAAAAACAACGAAAAAGTTGATGGTGGTTAATTGTAGAAGTAAAAGTTTTTTTTTTTTACTAGCATAGTGTTGTAAAATTTTATTAAGTTCGCATAGTGTTGGTTAAGTAAATTGAGATTCAGAATTCTTAATTCTTAAGGCAACACAAAGTACTTCCCTTAGTAAGCTTAGAGTTGGAGAGTGTTGTAAAACGATAGACTGTGCATAGTGTTGATAATTAATTTTGTATTATTCTGAACTGGAAGGATTAAAGGCAAATCTGAGTGGTGTTGGTGAAAAATCCTAGAAACGGAATGCAATCAACAGGCGTTGAAAAGTGGGACAAACATTGCGGCAAGCCGGCTCCAATTTAATTGAAATGTTTAAAATGCGACAGTGTGGAAAAATGCCAGAAGGCACCAGCGCACTCACACACAAACACTCTTTCGGCAGGGAAAACCATGCCTTATAAGTATGCTAAGCGAACTGCAAGGACGAATGCCAAACAGAGGAAAAGCGGCGAAAAAAAAACAAAAAGAAAGTGCACAAAAAAAGCGAAGAAAAACGTGGCGTCGATACAAAGACAACTTTTAATGCCATTCAACAAAGTTGTGATAGTTTTTGTACACTGGAAAATATAAAGTTTATGGAAGACGGATTGATAAAACGGAAAAAGTTTGAGAAAAGTTTTCTGTAAGTCTTTAAAAATTCAGCTTTACAACCTGGCACTAAGGTAAAAAAGAATTTTCAAAAAGGATTTTACTATCAATATTTATCAATATATTTCATTTATGCACTTTTTTTGCCTTGATAAATTTCAGACTGCTCTACAAATTCTTTTAAAAACTTGAAATTGAGAGGGGTTTTATCCTGACTGTTTTTTTAAGTGCAAAATAACGTCTTGTATTTTGTATAGTACTTTGCAGGTCACATAGTACACATAAAAGGCGGATTGCCGTAAAGGACCACAGGCGTTGGAGCAATCAAGATGCCAAGGAAAGTGCAGAAAGTCAGTTGAAATTGAAAGTTTTGATGGGTTCGAGGAGTGCCAGGATCTGTGTCCTTGCAATAATATTTGGAGCACACTTTTCCTGACTTTTTGCACTCTATTTGGCCATCGGCTCTTACTTATGGCATACCATATTTCATATTTAGTTATGAGAAAAATCAATCAAATACTAATCCAGCTGCAGTCATGAGTTATTCATTTACGTTTTTACAACATTTGTTTGCTCAGAGGCTTTGCATTCATGCTGGAAAATGGAAAATGCGGAATTGTTGAATGCCTCCTGCTTTTGCATTTAATATTTCACATCGCCAGCCGACCCGCACACACACTTTTCCGGTTGGAAAAGCCAATGCCCTTCTAACCCTTCGCAGTCGTGGCATTTGTGCAGCGTTTTGAAATGATTTTTCCATTCCATTGTAGTTGCATTTAAATTTGTCCATTTGATTCCATCCCATTGTTGCAATTGCTCATGCCTCATTTGAGGCGATTACACACAACAAAAAGGCTGCGGCGAGGGGGGCGGAAAATGGGGAAAGCAGAAAGCGGACCGGAAGTGGAAGTGGAAGTGGGTGAAAGTGCGGGCTGGGCTGGGGGCAAAGCACTTGACCATTTGCCATCGCCATTTGTCAGCGCGGGATCAGACCATCAATTATTTCGGTCAAATAAGTGCTGCAATAAAATCGCCCCTTCCGCGGGTGAATACCCGAAATTTCATTGAATTAGCCAACGAAACAGCGAACAAGATTGAGTATTTAATTTGAATTTGTATAAAATTACCATCGTAACTATTTTTCAAGCGATTCCTTTTTCAGTAAATAAAATGTACACCTGTTTTTGTTAAGTATTGTAGAAATAGTAAAGTATTATTTGCAGAAAATGAAAGCTTTCAATTTAGTTTACTGGTTCTGGAGCAATGGGAAATTATTATGATTATAGGCATTATTATGCATGAAAGAAAAAGTCTTAAAAATTTTCCAAGCACGAATAGGAAAAGCTTACTGATATAAGTTCTTAAAATGTTCCTAAAGTTTTTTTTGGACCCAATATGTTGGGCAAAATTGTCCTAATTTCTGAGGTTTATTTTCATATTTTTGAATTGACGAAAAATAGGACAAGTTAATGACAGAACAGAAAGGCGGGCCTTTACATTTATATTGACCTGGTATTAACGAACTATAACTGTAGAAAAATATATATTGTATCCAAAACTAAGATTGGTTAAGCCCTGGGTGAAATTAATATAAGTTCTTTGTATTTTCCATGTCATGAATTTGCTCACATACGAAAGTTGGCTATAAATCATAATCTGGTCACACTGTACACTGAAAACTAGGTGGCAACGCTGAACGCAAGAATTTAACAAGTTCTTCTTGCCTTCAAGAGGTTGTTTCTCCAGTATAGTAGATAGTTTTTCACCTTGGTTGCTTTATAAAAATACTTAAATTGAATATGAAATCTTTGGACTTACTACTTCTATTTGTATCAGTGTGGTAGGTAATAGTAACGATAGGGTTATGCAAACGATCTACTCACATAGCCAGTTCATGCGCTCCGTGTACTCGACCTTGCGCTTGAGGTCCTTGACGAGGGCGCGGAAGTCGTCGTCGTTGAAGTGGCACTGGATGATCGTGTTGTTCAGCTGCAGGATGCTGTACTCGTTGTTGCCGTTATTACCATTATTCCCGTTATTCCCATTATTCGAGGCGGCCACAATGGCATCCCTGGCCGCCCCATTCAGCGCCATATTCGTTGACTCGATATCGGTGGCACTGGCCCGCATTTTAATACTACCACCGATGCCAACTGGAGTCAAAGCCGCCGAAGCCACTGTATTGGCTCCGCCTGCCACATCGCCATCCACATTGCTGCAGGATTTACTCAGGATAATGGTGGCCCGATTGGCAATCGAATTGGCGGCCAGCAGATGCTCACCGGCAGCGCCGCAACTGCCGCGATGGAAGGGCAGTGCCTTGCCGCAATTGTTGTTCTTCAGCGTGATGCAGTGCAGCTGATTCTGGAGGGCGGCCTGGACCGCCGAGCAGTCGCTGGCCCGCCGGCGACGGGGATTATCGCGATTATCGCTGCCGTCGGGCAGGGCGGTGGGTTGCAAGTGGGTGGTGGTGGTGGTGGTGGTGCTGCCGCTGGTGGTACCGCTCGATGTGGCCGGCTGCTCAACGGTTGTCATTGTGGTTGTTGTTGCTACTGCCGCTGCTGCCGCAGTGCCACCGGCTGAATTCGACATGTTGTTGTTGTTCTGTATGCTGTTGCAATTGTTGTTGTTGTTATTGTTGTTGGCGATCCTCTGCTGTTGTTGCTGCTGCTGATGCTGCTGCCTGATCACCGTGAGATTGCTGCGATGATCCTGCTCCTCGTAGAACTGAATGAGCAGCTCCTCGAGCAGATTGATATTGTTGGAGCAAAAGGATTGCGAGGCAGAGGCGGAGACCGAAACGGAACCGGAAACGGTGGCCGTGCCGCTGATGGTCGAGCTGCTCGACGACTTCCGGCGCACGGTGGCCGTGGTGGTGGTGGTGGTGGTCACGGCAATCGCCGGCGGTGGCTCCTCCTCTGTTTTCTCTAGCTTCTCCTGGTGATCCTCCTCCTCTTCCTCCTCCTCCTGCTGATGACGATCCTCCTGCTCTGGCTGATCCTGGTGATCCTGCTGATCCTGATGATCCTCCTCCAGCTCACTGCTGCGACTCCTGCTGCTGACCGCCTCTAAACTGATGCTGCTGCTCCCACAGGCGCAATCCACTATGGCCGCCGTTGCCGCTGCCAGGACAATTGCCCGCTGATGCTCCTTGCCAGGATCGAAGATCGAGTGCCGCAGCAGGATCTCCTGCAGCTGACGCCTCTGCCGGCGGGCACTATAGGGATTCACCAGCCGAAAATCACCGTAGAACTTGGCCAAACACCGCACACGCGATGCAATATAGCCTATTTTACGCAACAATCGCACGTCCGCCTGCTGCAGCTGCAGTTGCAACTGTTGCTGCTGCTGCTGCTGCTGTTGCTGTTGCTGCTGCTGCTGGTGTTGCTGTTGCTGCAGCAAGGCCGCATTGCCGCTGCTGCTGGTGGTGCTGCTGCTGCTCGGCGAGGTACCCTCCTGGACGGTCGTCTGGCAATCGATCTCGATGTACTCACACTCGGCGGACTCCTCGCTCTCCACCGGACTGCTGTCCTCGATGTCGCTGGTGTTGCTGGTGTTGCCAAGTGTTGCTAGTGTGGCTAGTGTTGCTGTTGCCGCCGTGGTCGCCGTGCCGCTGGCTATAACCGTCGTGGTTGTGGTCGTCGCATGGATATCGCTCTCGGTGATGGTGGTCGTTATAATGGTCAGGGTTTCGAGGGTTTCCTCGTCGCTGCTGCTGGTTGTTGCTGCTGCTGCTGCTGTTGCTGCTGCTGCTGTTGCTGCTGTTGCTGCTGCTGCTGCTGCAGTTGCTGCTGTAGTTGTTGCTGCTGCACTGCTGCTGCCGCGTCGACTGCTACTGCTGCTGCAGCCGCTGTCCTGGTACATTTATAAGCAACCCTTGCTAACCGGTTTTTCAGCACTCTGTTTTTTCTCTGATTTTTCTGATTTTTCTCAATTATATTTGCTGCACTTTTCCCAGCTTTTCCGAGCTTTTCTTCCCTCTTAATTGTTACGGCCTGCGTTTATTTTTTATATTTCTTCCCTATTCGTTTTTGATTTGCTGCATAAATTAATTTCAGCGCTCGGGGTTTTTGTTTTTTTTTTTGGGGGTTGGGTGTAATTTTTACGTATTTTTACGAGGCTGGCGCCGTTTTTATGACCGTTGTTTCCCTTTGTTACTTGCAATTTGTTTTCTGATGTTTATGCCACGCCAGCAAAGTTATGCAAATTTTCCAAACAGCCGCTCCCCCGGCGCCCTACGCCCTTCTCACCACCCTATAGCCCCTACTATGCCCTCCTATACCCTATAAATATCGCGTATACGTATATCGCGCATACGCTCCGTATGCCAGGAGTACTGGTTGAAATCGAATCAATTCAGTGGAAAAGTTGCCGCCACTCGCATTTTTTGGCCTGTCAGACGATTCGCATTCGCAGTCACTTTCGCTTTCGCTATTTCTTGCTCCTTTCGCTCGGTTGTCATTTGTGTTTTACATTTTATTGTGTTTTAATTTGCATTATTCAGCCGTTTGTCCTGCCCCACCGGCGCTTCCTCTTCTTCCCCCGGGGCGTCACTTCCGTTTCCGCTGTGGAGCGTTGGGCGAATCTGCAAGGAAAACAATAAGGGTAGCTCTATGAGTCTCCAGTCGGAATTGGGAAGGCCAAGGAAAGTGCTTCCTATGACGATGCGAAAAACGAAAGACGACATATTAAGGTGCTAATTTCACACATTTAAGGGGGAATTTGATGGATATGGTTGGTTTAATCACCCTTGGCTAGCACACATAACAAAGGACTTTGAAATAAGAGTTTTGTGGTATATCATGAAAATTACTTTATTTTAACAATTCCCATTTTCGATGTTTAATTCTTGAATTGATGGATGCTAAAATGTTTGACTTTTGAAAAAACACAACTAAAAATTGTATTCATTTCATAAAAAACTCTAACAACAATGGGTATAATTATAGTTAATTTAAAAAGGCAAGCATTGAGCTTTGAAAATTTAGAAATATAATGATTTTTGGTATAAATAAACCGATAAAATAATGATAATAATGAGAAATTGTAAAAATCATATTATTTGATAAATTGTAAAATATCACAGCTCTTCACGCAATAATTTCTGTTGTTTTTTTCTTTCCATTTTGATATCAGTATTTTTTTTTTTGATTTTCAAAAATCGAAATATTACAACATTTTGTACCAATCAAGAAACAATAATTCAAAAAAAAATAAATTTTTGAAAATCAGGCGGAAAGAATAAAACATGGTGTTAAATTTGAAAAGTTTGTATATTTTTTAAGATATTTGACTATATTTCAATGTTTAAAATTATGTGGTAATCCTATTTTAGTCGCATTTAAATTTGTAAAATCTCTAAGTGTATTACATTTTGGCTTTTGTTCTAAATTAAATAATATGTTCATTAAATAATATGTTTTAAAATAGTTAAGCCAAATGATGTTGACCCAAGAAATCTTAAGCAATATTATCTTTAATTTAAAATAAGAAAAATTTTGCTTAGTGAAACAAAAAAATTTATAATCTCTTTAGCTTTTAAAATTGCCTAAATGCTAACCGTTCTTTGTCCCAGAAAAATTTTGCTTAGTGAAACAAAAAAATTTATAATCTCTTTAGCTTTTAAAATTGCCTAAATGCTAACCGTTCTTTGTCCCATATTAAAAACTTCCCATATTTAAAACTTCAAAGTAAAATACTTAAGGAACCGAAATGCCTTTGGTATTTATCAATCAGCTTTAACACATTTCAAGTACTCTTTAAAAAAAACTCCAAAATCACAGGCAACTCAAAGGAAATAATGAAAAGGCCATCCAAAATGCCTTTAACGTTTCATTATTCTGAACCACAAAAATCCTTCAAAGCTGATTGCTTCAATGAATTCTGTTTAGATAAACGACCTGTGAGAATTTTTGTGTTATTCCCAGCAATTTGCAAAGATTGAATCAAACGAAAAATACCTAAAGTTATGTGCATTTTAATCTGTGAGGATTGGTCAAGGATCTTCGATACTTGAGACACTCTGATTGCAGAGTTGCCTTAATTAATACAAAATCAATCAGGCTGGCGGCCAAGAAGAAAGCCAGTGGAGAAAGTACAAGGACCAGCAAATAAACAAATGGATAAATAGGAAAACAGCAGCAGAAGCAGCAGCAGCCAAACAACAATGTAAATATTTTATGAAATATTTTTACTACTTGCTTGGCACACTACTACATTCTGTTTTGTTGTGACAATCGATTGCAGTTTGTGTGTGTGTTTGTGTGGTGAAAGGGGGTGGTGAAAGTGGGGTGGTGCAAGGTGATTTGGGTGGCCACTCGACAATCCCAATAAGCAGACGTGCTCGACCGCAGAGACAAAGGCGTTGCCCACTGGCGGTCAACCTTGCGACCCACTGACGTCGGTGGTTCTGTGGGTGGGTGGTCAAACAGGGTGGCTGGGTGGTTGGGTGGTTGGGTGGCCTGGTGGGTGGTGCAGTGGGTAAACAGCGGGCAATTGCACAAAGCTACGGCGGACGGTGACACCGGCAACATCAGCGACTGTCGCCGACGTTGACAATGACAGCAAATGTCAAACAGTCTTTTCCACTTGCCCACCCACTTGGGTGGAAAACCCCCTTTTGCACCACCCCTCTTTTCAACCACCCACCGCCCCATTAAGTGCTCTGCCTCCTGTTCATCTGTCAATCAGTTTATCTGTCTTTTTTGTTTGGCCGGCAGCAAGTCGTGTGTGCAACTTCCACAATGCGCCACCGAGACAAAGGACTGCAACATGGTAATGGCATTGCCGGGATAGCAGTACCCCAGGTTACTGGATAAAGGGATACAGGGATACCAGGATACTGTGTTGGCTGGGAATTCCTCCACCACCACCAAAGCCACCAAGCATCCCAACACTCCACCAAGGTTTAAAGGATTGCAACTGCTTAACGGCTTCTAAAGCGAACAGATTCTGCAGATATCAAATCATTTTGCCAATTTCTAAGAGATCTTTAAGGCACGGACCAAAAATAATCATTAGCAAAATAAATTCAAATGAAAATTTTAATTGAAAACGTTGTCTTCAGGTTAGGATGCTATGTGTTTTCTTTTTTATTACTTGTAAAACATAAAGAGTGATATACCCTCAAAAAGCTTGATCTTTTAGCTGCACAATAAAAGTTTAAAAAAATTGCTTCTCATAAGATATAATAGAACATTTATTTTTTAAAACATAATGTTTTTAAAAAATGCCAAGAAACATGTTTGAAAAAAAGGGAATGTAGGCTAAAACGCTTTTTAAAGTAGTAAAAACTCTAGTTAAAAACATGAACAACCTTTATATACTCTTTATTGTTGGTACCTTTGGAATTTTAGTTAGATCCTAACTGTGTTCCCTATATTGTAAAGTACGAACCAAACGACTCACTCAACGACTCCAAAGAAAGGTACTTGCCCAAAGCGTAAAGTTTGGTAACTAAAAAACCATTATATTAGCAGAAAGAACAACTTTTTTTTTAAATGGAATTTATATAGAACAAAGTTGACTAACCCTACTTAAAGACCTTCTCAACCTATAGATCTCATCCCTATAGATAAACCAAAAATATCTATTAGCTTTAACACTTTATACTTCAAACTGCAAGCGAGTACATTTTAGAAAGTTAAAGCCAAGCTAAACTCCAAATCCCCAACTTTATAACATTAATTGAACATCTTTTATGGGGCCCCAGAAGCACTGACCTTATAAATTCTTAGTTTGCACTTTGTATTGCCCGCATAGCTGGCGTGCTAAATTCTTAATTTCCACTTGTGCTCCTGCTAGTTTCACACCGTAGCCTCCTAAATTTCCTTAAAAAGGATCTGCCACAAACACACAGAGAAATATATATATGGGCACCTACCACATATAGATATATACACATCGAAATGGATTTTTCCAAATTCCGAACGCATTGCGAACAGCTAACGTGGCGTATCCGTTCGTGCGTTTCTGGTATGCTGACGATTCCGGCACGACAGGAAGTGGAAATGGGGAAATGGGAAATTTTTGGGTGGGGCTTTCGGTGGGTGGAAAATGTAAAAAGGAAAATGGGAAAGGTGTGCTGCTGCTGGTTTTCAAGAGGCCAAGAAAATGGGGAAAACGAAAACGCTTCAAAAAGATTCAACTTTGTTGCATCTAATTATGGGCAATTTGATTAGGGCTCATAAACAAACAAGGCCATACACTCTATACACACTTGGGTGGGAACCCCCCTCCCCCCTACTAATACACACACACACAGAAGTGTCAATATGGAGCCGCAGGTGGCGCAATTGCCGACGCTGTCATGGCTGACAAAACGCAAACGCAAACAGAAACCGCCGCGGCCTTGTCCCAAAACCCTCGCAAAAAACCACCCACATCCCACCACCCCGCTGGAAAAACCCCTCGAAAAACCCCCACGAAGCCAACCCAAAAACCTCCCCGAAAATACCCAAAAAACCAGACCGAATCGAAGCGAACCAAGACAGCCACCAACTGTTGAATGGTGGCAACAGTTTTTGGCCAGCATATTCGCTGAATTTCATTTATTCAAAGCGACAGCAAGCGAAATAACATCATTTAAATATGTCGAAACCTTGCACGGATCCGTAAATGGAATAAGAATTTATTTAGTTAACTTTACTAACTATACGTTCGATAATAAAGACATTCTATAAAGACCACCAGTTCAACTACAACTATTATCATTTAGTTTTTAGAATTATGTATGCCCATCAAGAAATTGATAATTTAGGATATATTTAAATCATAAATCATATATGTTATATATATATATATGTTATTTATATATATTTGTTATATATATAATAATATAGAATTTTGTTTTATCGCTAGTGCTCAAGCCCCATTATTTATCTTATAGATTTTAATCTTCAGTTAGCTTTTTACTACTAAATAAATATTTTGTTTAAGTATCTAACCCGTGAAATAAGCTTAAGTTTTAAATACTTCAATACTATTTGTGTCTTATTTTTCAAACAAATGTATCTATGCCAATCAAAAAAACGTCAATTCAAGATCTACAATGAATATTCAATTAATAATGGATTTTATAAATATTAAGTTATTACAAAAAAATATACCACTCAAAATTTTAAATATGTTGACCAAACATAGAATAGTGTTTACTTCTATAAAATAATCATATCATTGTATTAAAACCTCTTCCGTTACGTTTTGAATAATACAATAATAATTATGAATAAGTACACACAAAAAAAAATTAATGGGTAAAATTGATAAAAATTGTTAAAAATTTCAACGTGTATTTTGATGTTGCTTTGGTTACCATTTTATTGTAGAGCTACTCTAAGACTATTTCATTAGTCCAAATGGAAAAACAATGGACCCATTTACCTATTATATTGGCCCATTAGACCAACTAGTTTTTTTGTATGTATAGGAAAAAACATTTGAAAAAGAATTAATGGTTTTAAAATATTTATTTAAACTGAAAAAAAACTTTAAAATTGTTTGAAAAGAGTTTAGAAAAAAAAAACAAAAACAATTGTTTCATACTTTTGTTTACCTATTATTTAACTTTTTATAAACCAATTTTCA